GAGCTGTAAAGATTTTGGAATTGAGTGAAGAAGAAGCTGCCGGCACACGAGGTGATATCGTGCCGTAAAAACCCACAAAGGCGGCATGACCCGACAACACACAGGAGGGGAAGGCGCTGCCGCTGCTGCTCACCGGAAGCCATTCATGGCTTACCTCCTCCTTCTCATGTCGGCGTTGCTATTCTCTGGAGTTTTCTCGGCCTACAGGCTGCACGTTTACTTAGAGGCCGGGCTAACCGGGCTTGGCACGGACTGTGTCGCGTGTTTTTTCAGGGCGCCGCCCTGAGCTCACTTCTACTATACGAGCGTGGCCAGAGATCAATTTGCATCCGGGGTTACAATTGTCCCCGAATATTTTCCTTGGCACAGATATCGCCCCGGAAGGTGGCACGTGAGAGCTGTACTGGATGGGGCGAGCCGTGTGGTGCGGGAAATATTTTCAGGAGCTCAGGCCCAGGCGGCTCCGACTGAAATTAATTTGTTGGGGGGTATCGTACAGCAGTGCGTGGATGCCTTATATTCCCTATAAAGCAAACGAACAAAATATAAAGATCTCCAATTATAGGTGACAGCTTGATGGCCAGTGCTGTCAGTGCGAGGGCACCTGTTAAGGCGTCCTCGTGCCATTGCCGGCCTCCGGCGTCTTTACTTTACAGTAAGGGGCCATCCATCAGGGACCATCCATTGAGTCCGTACGCATGGAGGGGGGAGGGGGGGGGGAGTTAATCCAAATGCGTTCGCTTGCGTATGGGGGGTCTACTGACAACGTGCGCATAGGAAACGGGGGGGGGGGGGGGGGGGGGGGGGGGTGAAGCCTCGAATATAATTAGTCTACTTTGGCCTTCAAGTGAGCCACAGTTTAGTGTCTTCAGCTGTGAGACAAGTCCTAGAAGTGGGACTGTGGGAGAGGTGTCACTCGTGTGCCACCCCTGACTGCAACCATCACGCAGCTCAGCAAGTGGCCAAGGTACACGACTTCATTGTTTAATGCAGTCGGTGGTGCACTGTTTGCTTAAACACGTTAATATTATTCATCCTTGATAGTTTCTGCGTCGATTAAATATCGGCCGTTCAATAGGATTTGGGGGGGGGAGTGCGTCAGGCGAACCTACCCAGGTGGGGGGGGGGGGGGGGTAAAAGTCCGCGTGCGTACAGGGAGGGGGGGGGGGTCACGTTGCGATAGATTATTTTTGCACATCGACTCAATGGATGGCCCCTAAGGCGTCTCGCCGTGAGCTCGAGTTTATGGAGTTTTCCTGTTCACCTTCAGATACCAATGTCCATTCGCGTTGCGCAACATCCTGTGTCTGTTTGCATGAAGCGCTTCGTACGTGAGAAGTGTGTTCAGTTGACATTCGTTTCTCGCGTAATACGAAGTATCGCTCCAATGTAACCGGTGACTGGAATCTCACCTCCGTGTTCATGTTCGCAAGGAAGCGAGTTGAACACTCCCCATACTCCGACATTAGCACGTGTGTGTGTCAATCTTGTGTGTGTGTGCGTGCGTGCACACACACGCCCTCAAGTTGACACGGCAACAATGCGCTGACACTTGTGCGCAACGCCTATGAGATTGAGAAACGCCAACTCTGTAGGCAAATTCACGCTTGCGAGGCCCAATGTCCTACGTTTAACCAGGTGAGAACCCTTGCGTAGTAATTATTTATATTTCGCGAAGGGTTATTGGGCATCTTGGCAATAACACACGGGAGTCCGACGTGGACAATCGCTGTGGATGATGCGATGTGTTGGCTGTGATCAAACCTGGGATTAGGAGGCAACATGATGGACTACTCTGTCTCTCTCTCTCACAGGCATGATATCCCACGTCGTAAGGAATGCCCACACTTTGTAATCCCCTCAAATCTCGAGTTCCTTAAATGGTTTTTCGTCCGCATGTCTTTTGATCAACGTCGAGGAGGCCACCGCCGCTTTGTTGTTTCTCGAGCACGGCGACATCGTCGTCGTAGCCGTGACTTTCAGGTTTCTGTGATCATACCGTTACAGTAACACAACCTGCGTCAGTTAACCTTGTTTTAAAGAAACTCGAGTCTTTAATTCGCGATTTTATCCCGTGTAACTCGATAGAATGCAAGCAACACGGAAAAGGGTAAAACTCACGTCCGCGTGCACACAACGTGCACACAACGTGCGCACACGTGTACACAACGTGCACACGTGTACACAACGTGCACACAACGTGCACACAACGTGCGCACACGTGCACACAATGTGCACACAACGTGCACACGTGTGCGCACAACGTGCATACAACGTGCGCACAACGTGCACACAACGTGCACACAACGTGCACACAACGTGCGCACACGTGTACACAACGTGCACACGTGCACACAACGTGCACACAACGTGCACACAACGTGCACACGTGTGCGCACAACGTGCACACGTGTGCGCACAACGTGCACACAACGTGCACACGTGTGCACAAAACGTGCACACAACGTGCACACAACGTGCACACAACGTGCGCACACGTGTACACAACGTGCACACGTGCACACAACGTGCACACAACGTGCACACAACGTGCACACGTGTGCACAACGTGCACACAACGTGCACACGTGTGCACAACGTGCACACAACGTGCACACGTGTGCGCACAACGTGCACACAACGTGCACACGTGTGCACACAACGTGCACACAACGTGCACACAACGTGCACGACGCATTGCTGGCACGAGGAGCCTCGCGCTCCATACTTCGCCACACCTGCACTCACCCACACTGCCCATGTGAGTAAGTGCAGGTGGGTGGGGGGGTAACGTCTCAAACGTGACACAATCTCGCGGCATCGTCATCTTGGTTCGCTGGGGTCTCGTTGTGACGTCGCACACAAGTCGCCTGGACGGTAGCGCCCCCCCCCACCCCGCCTCGCTGCCCCCCAGCCCCTGCGCTCGGCGTGGCACGCGGCGACTCCACTCACACAACAGCCGCAGCGCGCTTCTGCGCTCGGTGTGATATATATGTATATATATGTTTATATATTAATATGTTTTTATATATTTGCGTGTTTTTTTGACGAACGTTGAATTCTGCGATCGTTGGAATGTTGACTGCGGTTCGCGAGAGTTCGGCAGCCGAGGGTGGTTGGTGCTGGTGGTGCAGAATTCGACTTCGCTGGCAGGCACGATGAGGCTATTGAGCACACGAGATGCACACAGGCGCCGGGTTGGGGACATGCCTACAACAAAGGGACAGCTACCGGTGCATTCGTGAATCGATGAGTTGACAGATGCAGTATTTACCTTGGGCGCTGACAGTCCGCTTCTTATGGTGCAGTGTGCAGCCTCCCCCGACTACACAGTCTCCCTGGTGATCCATCTCCTCTGTATCTCTCTATGCTACGAAGGGGGGTCATTGCCAAAAACGCTACCTATTCCCCCCCCTCTCTTTTTGGGCAGTGACGTTTCGGGCAACGACCCTTCCTCAGGGCAGTGGTATTAACGAATGTGTTCCATGCGTCTGTACCCCTGCCCCCCTCTCCAATATGAAGCCACTGGGTGCTATTCACTTTGAAATCTCGATTGAAAACTCATTCATTTAGAACTGCGTTTTGTGTAGTTTGTTGTCCTTCCCCCGCACCTCCGATGAGCGCGGTTGGCTGCGCGCGGTGGAAAGACGTTCAACACACACGTACGCGCGCGCACACATGTACACACACACACACGTACACATACGTACACACGCGCACGCACACATACGTACACACACGTACACATACGCGCTGTACGACAGCGGTGCCGTCCGCAGCTCCATCCCTGCGGCGGGGCTCGTAGCAGGGGTGGCGATGCCGACCCAGGCTCAATGAGCGGGCGCTAAGTGGGACGAGGACACGTGTCACGCAGGGGCTCGGGTCACGCTCGGGTCACGCTCGCCGCGCACACGGCGGCACCAGCGGGTGCGCAGCGCGCAGGTGTGACTCCGTCTCAGCGGAAGCGTCTGGGATTCGTTTTAACGACGTCCATTGCCGTCAGCCTAGAACCTCGCCCAGGTTCGGGGGGACGCTGGCGAGCAGAGTGGAACAACGTGGACGGCCGGAAACAAACGCCTCCTCGTTCGAGCTCCAAACATCGCACCGCATCCTGACTGACGGTCCTCCTCGCAGACACGAGTGAAAGCATTCATCGCATCAGAACACCGACAGGCCGATGCGCACACCTCGCTCGTCATGGGGAAGTTAACGAGGCGAGCCACAGAACTGCGATGGTGGCCATGCAACTCAGACTATGGACCGTCGAGCAAACCGCGGAATTTTGCGCTCCTTCAATGGAGGAGGAGGAACGGCAGAAGGACACGAACTGCTGGTGCACTCTCGTCGTGACGAGCAGACCTCGACATTGGCATCCAGCTCCCGAAGCACATCGCTGCCATACTCAACAAGAGAATGGATGCGTTCGTCCACTGTGGCAAGCATCGCCACTGGGAAGACAAAGACGGACGGGCGTGGTGCTGGACACACACTCTGGTGTGCCGTTCCAGCCTTCTATAGGTGCTCGCTAACAGCACTTGCCCCAATAGTCCGTTGAGGTTATACGGGTGATCTGTGTCTGCACAGGTGTACCCGCGTGTGAATAGAACCCTGTGTGGAGACCATTACACACAGAGAGAGAGAGAGGAACACATTCAGGCGACTTCAACTCGTGGGAGCGACCCGCGGTGACAATAGCTGCGGCACACCCGACACCCGCCCCCTCTCTCTCCAACACCCGCACCTGCACAGCAGCCACACGCGGCGGGCCGCGCTGCACCTCGAACGCACGGCTGTCCCCCCCCCTTACCCCGTCCACAGCCGCCTCCTGCACACGCGGTTCACCCCGAGCCACACGCGGCTCACAGGGCGCGCTCTTGAAGAGGAGCAGCTCGCCGGTTAGCCCGGCACGGCTGCCCGAACTGAGCGCTCTGTCAAGTGAGCAGCAGCAGCAGCAGCGTGACAGAGCGCTAACTCCACAGCGTCCCGCCTCCATAACTCACCTTGCAGCATCACTTCTTCACTCCTGTGGAGGCACCGCGCGTCGCGAGAGGCAGGGAGCGTGGTGGCGCTGCCCTGTGAGCCCGGCTCAGCTCTCCGCTTCTCTCTGCGCGCCGCAGATCGGAAGTGGCCAACTTTGGGTTTCTCAGCCCCCTCACCTCGCCCTGGCGCCCTGCACCCCACCCTCTCCCAGTAGCGAGCAGTGGAGTGAGCCCGCCTTCTCCTCCTCCTCCTCCTTGCACCACCACTGCCTCCACGCCCTCACACCCCCACCAGGGCCCCCTCTGCACACACGCGGCCAGTGCCGCCACCGCGTGGCCAGCCGGCGCCGGGTGCCCTGCAGGGTTCGCCCGCGTTCATCCCCGCGAGCGTGGCCCTGCCGACGAGACGGGTCCACAGTTTTGCTTCGTTGCCTTGAATCGATGCTGCTGAAATGCGTTGTGTAGGAAAATTCCATTTGTTTGTTTATGATGTGGCGAGATGGGTATGCGATGGAGGCATTTCTTACGAATTTCTGCCCGAGCGGAGTTCGCCGTGAGTCATCGAGAATGCTGTGATGCTCATAGCAGGTCCTGCTGTGCTACCCGAACAATAGTACTGGGTATCCACAGGACAGTTGCACGACATTCCCTTTATCTTCCTCTGTGTGGAAGGCGCTGATCACCTCCTTCCAGCAGCCTGTAATTAGCAGCAATTTTAGAAACACAGCAAATTGTTGTAAGCTGCTTTTACATGAACGGTTTAGTGAAATTGTTTGGTACTTAATTCGCTATCCGTCATCAAAGAGGCGCATGTACCTCATGTCTGGAATGTGCATGTCGCTCTTGGCTCCACGGCCCGCCACTGTGCTCCATGCGTGACGAAGAAGCGACCGACTTAACACGACACCTGGCGGGCAGTGCGGCCCTACGCACCGGGGATACGTGACACGCGACACTCACATTACCCTCATCACTCACAACTCACCTCATCACTCACAACTCACCTCATCACTCACAACTCACCTCAACCATGTGTCATCAACCCACCTGAGCCTCGCCAGTCAACTCACCTGAGCCTCACCAGTCAACTCACCTGAGCCTCACTAATCAACTCACCTGAGCCTAACCAGTCAACTCACCTGAGCCTCACCAATCAACTCACCTGAGCCCCACCAGTCAACTCTCCTGAGTCTCACCAGTCAACTCACCTGAGCCTCACCAGTCAACCCACCTGAGCCTCGCTAATCAACTAACCTGAGCCTCGTCAGTCAACTCACCTGAGCTTCGCCAGGCAACTCACCTGAGCCTCACCAGTCAACTCAGCTGAGCCTCACCAGTCAACCCACCTGAGCCTCGCTAATCAACTAACCTGAGCCTCGTCAGTCAACTCACCTGAGCTTCACCAGTCAACTCACCTGAGCCTCACCAGTCAACTCACCTGAGCCTCACCAGTCAACTCACCTGAGCCTCACCAGTCAACTCACCTGAGCCTCACCAGTCAACTCACCTGAGCCTCACCAGTCAACCCACCTGAGCCTCGCTAATCAACTAACCTGAGCTTCGTCAGTCAACTCACCTGAGCTTCACCAGTCAACTCACCTGAGCTTCACCAGGCAACTCACCTGAGCTTCACCAGTCAACTCACCTGAGCCTCACCAGTCAACTCACCTGAGCCTCGCTAATCAACTCACCTGAGCCTCACCAGTCAACTCACCTGAGCCTCACCAGTCAAATCACCTGAGCCTCACCAGTCAACTCACCTGAGCCTCACCAGTCAACTCACCTGAGCCTCAACAGTCAACTCACCTGAGCCTCACCAGTCAACTCACCTGAGCCTCACCAGTCAACTTACCTGAGCCTCGCCAGTCAACTCACCTGAGCCTCACCAGTCAACTCACCTGAGCCTCACCAGTCAACCCACCTGAGCCTCGCTAATCAACTCACCTGAGCCTCACCAGTCAACTCACCTGAGCCTCACTAATCAACTCACCTGAGCCTCGCTAATCAACTCACCTGGGCCTCACCAGTCAACTCACCTGAGCCTCACGAGTCAACTCACCTGAGCCTCACCAGTCAACTCACCTGAGCCTCACCAGTCAACTCACATGAGCCTCACCAGTCAACTCACCTGAGCCTCACCAATCAACTCACCTGAGCCTCACCAGTCAACTCACCTGAGCCTCGTCAGTCAACGCACCTGAGCCTCACCAGTTAACTCACCTGAGCCTCGTCAGTCAACTCACCTGAGCCTCGTCAGTCAACTCACCTGAGCCTCACCAGTCAACTCACCTGAGGCTGACCAGTCAACTCACCTGAGCCTCACCAGTCAACTCACCTGAGCTTCACCAGTCAACTCACCTGAGCCTCGTCAGTCAACTCACCTGAGCCTCGTCAGTCAACTCACCTGAGCCTCACCAGTCAACTCACCTGAGCTTCACCAGTCAACTCACCTGAGCTTCACCAGTCAATGGGAAGAAGCCGTTGAGATATAACGGCTCCCCCCCACCACACGCCGACACATTGTGTTTATTTCACGTTGATATCATTAGTTATGTAGTGCCATTGAATGAGTCACTGTAGCGCGTGGCGCTGGGAGATTGTTAGACAATGGGATTGGGGGTATTTGCCCGTTCTACCGGATGGACCTGTGGGCGAGGCACGGAGCCTTCTGGGGGATCCAGAGGGGTGCGGTGCCGAGGGCGGAGCCTGGCCACGCTGGGGAGGACAAAAGGCGAGCTCCGACTCACAGGTGCACGAAGTGCAATCACGGTAGAGCCAGCTGTTAGTTATTTCTGCGATTTCTATTTGTGGGCATTTTCTGTTCAATTGTGGGACAAAGGGGCCCCGTGTGACACGCACACATAGTGCACAAAACAAACACCAGTAAGGAAACGCAGTTGTCACTGCGAAGTGACTTCAAGCAGCCGGAGAGGATAGCTCACACGCAGGAGACCCAACGGGGTGGACACTCGCGTTGTTTGCTGTCCCCAGCGTGCGGGTGTTTGTGTGTGAAATCGAAGCGTGGAGGGTTTGTACAGCAGCGTGTGAATCATTACGCAGCCCCCTATGTGCTTGCTGCTCAAGATGCCGAAGAGGATACATGTATCAAATATATATATGTTTGCAATAGGTTGAATGGAAACTCATGAAATAGATATTCTCTTTTTTGGTCATCTTGGACTTAAATTAACTTAACATCAGGCTCATTCTTTCAGAGATTTCAATCGAGCGCTGAATGTGCTGCTGGGGATTGTGAGTGCGGTAGTGTTAATGACATTGACGATACGGCAGTAATTTTAATCGGGGCTAAGGAGCGATGTTTGTAACTTAAGTGTGACAGCCATCAATCACTCAGGGAAGCAGAAACGCGCAGTGTTCGTAACATTGATGATGGCAGCGGTGGCCGACCCGTACATCGCGATCCACGGGTGGATGATCGCAAGAGCTTTTGTTGTGGATCTCAGGATAAACAAATCAGAAAAAAAACCGCTCACATAAGCAGACAACAATTCTCGTTACGGATGATGGCAAAGAAAAATCCCCGACTAAGAATTCACACGACACATGTAATAACTTCTACCAAAATATGGTGTTAATAGAGTATGCTTATTTTATTTAAGCTTCGAATGTATTGACCTCAACATGTTTCAATCCAAAGTAAAAAAATAATACACACGTTTTCCCTTCTTGTTCATAAAAATGCACCAACAATAGTTCTTATTTTATGCATGGAAAGTCGACTAATGCTGCTATTCAACTGAGCGCGTGTTGAACCACGCACGTCTAACACAGCGTGCGCCGGCATATTCAGTCCAAGTCGAGTTATCCTTTCATACAAATATAACCGTGCTGGTACATTACTGAAAGGCGATAACAATTAATAAAACAATAGTTCACGACATCGCGACTGCTTTCAGGGTCGCTTTCAGGCGAATTCCCAGGGGCCTTGATTCAATTGGCGTGCATGGCATGGCCCAGGCTGGTTTGAGTGTTCACAAGACGGGGGGGCATTGGCAAGCTTGGAATCTATGGCGAGTCCGTCTCAGTGAGAGCACGTGGCTTGATTCGCACGCTCACGACTGTAAACGTTAACTGGTGCGCCCATTTAGACCAAGGCATACACCCTCAGAGCCGTGTTAATTACAGTTCTGGTCCGCTTGGCATCTTTGACAACTTACCGGTGCGAACCAGGGATTTATTCCTTCCTCAATATACTCCAAATTGCTGCAGGCTGGCTTGCAGTAGGGATTGTCAGCGTAAGGCACTACCACTTCGAGTACAAAGTGCTCCTTAGCCATCATAGTCGATGGAAGTTGCCTTACTGATGAAACTGTAATTATAAAGTGGGTGAACTCTTCTACAGCAGAGGGCGGAGGAGCGACGCTCCCAGCAACGAGCGGAGCGTCGGGCGTATGAAACGCAGCAGGTTGGCACAGTGGTGCATCCACCGGTGATCTCAGTCTACCCACGGCACCCGTACCTGTGCTGTGACCTCCTGCCAGCGAGCCCACGACGCTTCACGTGGCCTTTTAAGGTGAACCTAGCCTGGCACAAGCGCCGCGGGAACGTCACAGTTGCTGCGGCGAATGGTAAAAGCGGCGGGCGTGGCGTTCTAACGTGGGCGCGGTCACGCTGAAAGTGGGCGTGGTCACACCCGTCGCGGGCGTGGCTACCGCCGGAGCGGGCGTGGTCACACCCGTCGCGGGCGTGGCTATCGCCGGAGCGGGCGTGGTCACACCCGTCGCGGGCGTGGCTATCGCCGGAGTAGGCGTGGTCACACCCGTCGCGGGCGTGGCTATCGCTGGAGCGGGCGTGGTCACACCCGTCGCGGGCGTGGCTATCGCCGGAGTAGGCGTGGTCACACCCGTCGCGGGCGTAGCTATCGCCGGAGTAGGCGTGGTCACACCCGTCGCGGGCGTGGCTATCGCCGGAGCGGGCGTGATCGTATCCGCAGGGGGTTTTCGGGGTGGGCGGGGGAGCTCACGTGGCTTCCGCTGGGCTTATAGAGAGGCGGCGGAGGGAGTGTGTGTGGCAGTGTGGGGCTGTGTGGCTGTGTGTGTGTGTGAGTTCACTCTGTGTGTGCGTGTGGGCCGCTCGCCTTGCCCGCTCGGCCGGCCCGCCCGCCCGGTGCGCTCGGCCTCTGTTGGCAGCGATCGACGCGGGGCGCTTCCCTGCGGTTGGGATCCTTAAAAGCGAGGCCCTCTCCCCGTGAGAGGAAGAGCAACCGGCGG